AGATATCTTCCTGGGTGCTAGGCTGGGGACAGAGCTGCAGGTAAAAGGTACGGCCACTTGCCAGCTTGAATCGTAGCTGCTTCTTCTCTGGATTGTGGATTGAGATCCTAACTAGACACAGAGGAAAAAGCCTGCAAGACAGAGAGGAAGACAAGGGGATGGAATATCGTTGACGCCTTTTTCTTATTTGCAGCTATTAGAACACTAGTGAATAATTTTACTATTTGAAAGCTGTTGTTTCATTCGGTACATTTAATCTGAAATTAAAGCAATTTAACAATCTTTCATACAATATTCTGCAATCTCTGTCTGAGTTAATGCAATGAAATTATTAAATCATCTCCTAGTGAATGAGAAAAAAAATGTTCAAAAAGTACAATTGGCATTAAGTTTATTAAGACCATATAAAATGAATCAGCATGTTATGGGAGAAAGAGTGACAGGTCGAAAGTTATTTATTCATGTCTAGGTATAAACCTGGACTTGGACCAGGGTATCATCATTTGTTGTGCAACATTTCAATAACTACCACACTGTCAATTTCAGGTGTGCTTAAATCTGGCCCATGGGGCTGGCCTGGCAATAGCCAGTGGTGCCTCTGGCAGCCAAAACATTTTGGCCATCAGGTGCTGCAGGATGTCGTTCAGGCTGAAAATGGCTGCAGGGGGCCTGTTTTGATTGGCAGGGTGCTGGAGGAGGTGTCCATCCTGCCTCCCCCCCTCCAGCTGACCCACGGAGGAGAATTATAATGCTGATCTGGCCCTCAAAGAAATCCAGTTTGACACTCCTGGACTTGGACCAGGGTATCATCATTTGCTGTGCAACATTTAAATAACTAATCACAACGTCTTGGTCTATTTCATTCTTACCCCTACAGAAAATAGGTAATCCCAGTCCATAAAAAGAGGTGCCAATCTATCGTAGAAGATATGAAAAATATGAGACTACATCTCAGCCTCTATCTTAGAGTCTAACCAAACCCACCTGGTGAGCTCATATCTCTTAGCTGGGCGGCGTGGATGAAAGAAGGATTTAAGCTTTGTTAGAGGCTCCTCAGGGGGAAAGATGGAACGAGCCAGAAGTAACACATTGGGGACCAGCAGACTGGGGCTTGTGCAGGCTACTGCAACAGTCACAGTCTGAATTTGATTGTGCACGTCAATCACTTCTCCTCTCTTACTAACCTGCAGGGAACAAGACGGGATTAATGCAGAGGCAGCCGGTTTGTGAAGGCAAGTAAGCAGGTGACTCTTCCCTCCAGAATTTCAGATGCCCTTACAAAATAACACTCAATAGGATTTCTCATTGCTGAGGTTTTTAATTTTGTAAATATTTCTTGGTTCTAGGTGAATCAAATAGGAACAATGGATCTTCCTATTCAGAAGTTTAAGCTCTGTGCATTCATCCAGGCTTCCTTTACAGATGGGGTGAAAGGACAAAAGTCTCTAATGATCCCCTTCCAGAGGGAACCAAACTTGAATCCCTTTCAGCTTCTAGTAGCTATGCTGACGTGGAGGGTCGTTCCAATGTATTTGAAGAGCAAGCATCTGGGCAACCTTTGTGACAGTGGTACAGTTTACCCGCTTCTAGTCCGTCACTCTGTTCCCCCCTTTTTTCTATTAAACAAACCAAATCCAATTTTGAATATTTGAATCCCCGTTACCTAGCACTTTATCTAACTCAGTATTATCTCTTCAAATTGATCTTAGAACGAGCAGGAAGACTCTTNTTTTGTGTGTGTGTATTTTACATGTTTGTTAATAAAAAAGAGGGGGGAAAACAAAATGCTTGTTTTGGGCTGAAGAACCTAGGACTCTCTTTTCTGCCCAATCTGCCTTCCAGTTGTGTGCTGGGCTGTGATAATTTGGATCCCCAAATAGCTGCTCATAGAAAGCAGAACAGCAAAATTATTGTGCTAAAAGTAATCTTCAAGCCTGTATTGCATCATCTGTGCCAGAGATGTTCAATTTTGTCAGGCTGATGGCTATGCTTGGCCTTTGTAATGGAAACAGAATAAAATTTACTCTTTAAAATATCTGATCAGAGTCTATATTTGGATCAAACTGCAGATTTATGACTCACATATAGTGTATTTTCTTTTCTTTTTTTTTATTGTAAGCTTTCCCACCAGATGCCCTCCAGTGTGTTAGATTACACCTCTGATTACTTTTTAGAAATGATGGAAGCTGTGGATGAACATGTTTGGAGGATACCATATCACCTGAGGACTTCATAGCTGAATAGCAATGTGAAGTGAAATCTTTCCAGTTCTAGTTATCAAGAGGGAGAAATTACAAACCTTCCAGATGCTGCTGAATGTCAACATGAAACATCTCCCAGTCTTGGCTATGCTAGTTGAATACTGGGAGCTGTCGCTGAGCAGCATCTGAAAGACCTAGATTTCACTTCTAATCAGGATATCTCACTTGCTTTAGCAGCTGTCCCCATGCACCTGTTACTTCAGCTATAGATTGTTCACTGGTTTAGAGCTAAACCCTACCAAAAGCAGCATGTTCTCTTGAACTCCCCACCTGAAATCCAAATCCTTTTTTGATTATGGTGGCAAAAAATATGGTCATAAATAAACTGGATACCTTTTTGAAGAAGCAGAGCTTCCAGCCCTCTCTTTCCTACTGCCTCGACTCTTGCGACTGGGAGGTCTTTCAAAAGGCTGTGGTGGTGACCTCCTTCCCTCTGCCGATGGGTAGCTCTCTAAGTCAAATAACTTTTCTTCACTGGCAATGGGAGACCAGCTGGGCCCTTGGGAACTTGGCAGGCTTTCCATGGACATTATCAGACTTTGTCTACTTGCAACCTCTTCATGGATAAGGCTGGGAGTTTCAGATGCTAAGTATACACTCTGTTCACTCAGTTTTTCTTCTACATTTAAGGATCCTTCTGGACTCTAAAACAAACAAGAACCAGAAAGGTGTGAGCAATAAATCTTACTTGTGCATCATGTATGGAATGCTTTCCAAGCTGTAACCATAACCCTAAGTTGGTGTGGGAAAGACTCCTCTCTGAAGCCTCCAGGAAAGTCTGGCAGTCAATGTCAATAGATAAAGGTGAAGGTTCCCCTCACACATAAGTGCTAGTCATTCCCAACTCTAGTGGTGCTCATCTCCATTTCAAAGCCAAAGAGCCAGCGCTGTCCCCATGGGCATATGGCCGGAATGAGTAAATGGTGAAGGCGCAAGGAACACTATTACCTTCCCACCTATTTTTCTACTTGCATATTTTAAATGCTTTCGAACTGTTAGGTTTGCAGAAGCTGGGACAAGTAATGGGAGCTCACTCCATTATGCGGCGCTGGGGATTTGAATCGCTGAACTGCCAACCTTCTGATCAACAAGCTCAGCGTCTTAGTTACTGAGCCACCATATCCTCAATGTCTATAGTACTGGCCTAATTGGACAAATGGTCTGGCTTAGAATAAAGCAGCTACCTATGTTCCTGCCCTTCCCTCTTGACTGCAAATGTCTTGGAACCAAAACATTTGCAAGGAGAGGGAAGTGCAGCCGGTACATATTCCGGGTACATTGTTAATAATCCTCTCCATGGCCCTGCTTGGAATGGTCCCCTTTGCATACATTATTCCATAACATGCCATTCCACTAATGATATAAAAACAAACTGAAGTTAGTAATAGAAAGGTAGTTCACCTTTGACCTTGAGGTTTCATGTTTGGTCTTGCGGTAAGGCTTTTTGCTCAAGTCTAAAGGTGATCGCAGCATATTGACAACCTTGACCCACAGGCCAAAGATATCTTCCTGGGTGCTAGGCTGGGGACAGAGCTGCAGGTAAAAGGTACGGCCACTTGCCAGCTTGAATCGTAGCTGCTTCTTCTCTGGATTGTGGATTGAGATCCTAACTAGACACAGAGGAAAAAGCCTGCAAGAC